GTACCATGGTAGAAGGAAAGACTTGCAGCCTGGGCCCATGTCCCCGGCCCTTATGGGGGCATCGTTAGTTGATACAGCAGCTCAGAGAGCCCCGGTCAGGCTCAGCCCCTGGCTCAGACAGCGCACTGGCTCTCTGCCGCTACGTCACAGGTCTCCCCAGAATAGTAGCTTCAAGCCACAACAAACTGTCCCCACAATGTCTGCGGGCCAAGCATTCAGGCGCAGTTCAGAGGGTTCTGGCTCCAAGTCCCTGCGAGGTTCTCAAGGTATCGGCCGGACTGCAGTCTGAAGGCTGGACTGAGGCTGGAGGGCCCTCATGCCGGCACGTGGGGCCGCTGGTGGGAGGCCTCAGCTCCTGGCCCGTCCGCATGCCGCTCAGCTGCAGGTCCTCGTGGCACATGGCAGGCTTCCTCCAGAGCCAGTGACCTCAGCGGAGGCAGCCGGAAGTCATCTGCTTTGGGACTGAGCCTCAGAAGGGACTCAGCAACACTGCTGCCACGTCACGTGGATGGCTGCAGTCAAGAACTGGATCTCAGAAAATGACTTCTACTGGCCTTCCCAGGAGAGGCCTCCAGGGAGTGCCAAAGATGACGCGGTGGCACCTTCCCAAGGACTCCAGAGTCAAGACCTGCTCTCCACAGGCACTTTTCTCAAGGAAAAGCTACTCCCTGGGGGCCTTAGACAAAGCCTGTGTGCCTTCCCTGGGAAGTAGGAATGCATAAGAACTCCTGGGGGGTGCACTACAGGCAGATGGATAGGCGCCCCTCAGAGTCCTGGTTGCATAAGAACTAACGACCAGATGGGAAGGTGACTCTCAGGCCCCCGGGTGCATAAGAGCTTCCAGGTGATACACCCTAGGGAGATGGGGAGGTAAACCTCAGGGCCCCCAGTGCATAAGAACTTCTGGGTGGTACACCACAGGAAGGTAGGGAGGTGGCCCTCAGGGTCCTGAATGGGCCAGTTCACAGGGGGTGTGCCTTTCAGAAAGCTGTCACGTCCCGGGCCTCTACCCAATGGGAGGTGGGTTCTCACAGGAAAACTTCATCCCAGAGAGTCATTCCAGGAGCACTTGTGCTTAGTCATTGAAGAAAGCATCCCAGGAAAAGTGCTCTTACCTTCTGATAAAAGTGCTTCCAGAGCACAACAATACTGTCTCAGCTCTTGAGCCTGGAAATATTTTTCCTGGAGCTTCTCTATAAAACTTGTGACTATGGAGGACTCTTGTCTGTAGCTCAGAACAAGTTCTGTCCTTGGAGCCGGAAGGTGTTCCTGGTCCTTCCAGCGGCCGTATCCCAGGTGTTTATTTGACACCTGCGTGGGCTGGACCAGATCTGCTGTTGTTTGGTGTCTCCCAGTGCTGTCCAGGGAGGCCAGCTCGATCTCCATACCTGTGAAATTCCAGAAAGGCTGAAATAATCGCAGCCTTAATTTTTCGTAACCCTGTTAATTGGTTTCCTCTTCCAAACAGACAAACACAGTTTGTTCCTAGAGCCAGTCCCCTTTGCTCCT